CCCCCAAACTCAATTACCTTTTGTGAGGCAGCAGGAGGCATGACACCTCCTAGTCATATTGATCAGTGCAGACCGGGCAGGACATGGGGGACTTGAGAGACGCTAAGTTGTGATTTCTGGGCTTTTCCTTCCTTAGAAGGCCTCTCCTTTCTGTGTTTGTAGAGATACTGGCATTAATAAAATGGAAGTCTGTGACCCAAATGGACCGAGCAAGCAAGAACTCTATCGGTGGCCTCCTTAGAGGCAAGCTGATGACAAATGGTCACAATGGACCAGAACTTGGAGTCCTGAAGTGACCAGAGCCAGAATGGTTTTCTAACTGTAGCTCTTTGCACATACTAGATTTTGCAAGCAATTGCATGATATGAACTCTGAATGCCATTAAAGCTAGAAAAAGTTTGGAAGGAGACACACCCAACTGTGAACAGACAGAGGAATTGGACTTGTGGGGGTGGGGGATGGGGGATGGGGTAGGATCATGACTAGTTTTATCTGTATGTAGGATTTCAAGTTTTTATTCTGATAATATATTCCTAGATTGCTTGTGTAACTATTAAACATAAATACAAGTTAGGAAAACAGGAAATAATTTTTCAAAACAAAAACAACAAAATAAAAACAAGCCGTTGGAGACATTTTTCAGAGGTTACTACTGACCAAGGATCCGAGTGGTGCAAGTGTTAAGTTTGTTGGGGAAGTAAGATGCTTGGGTGGGGAGATGTTGTAGATCCTTACAGAAAGCATGCAGGAAGCAGAGAGGAGAGGACTAGACACAGAACCAGAGGGAAACACAGCTTTTCAAAAAAGAAAAATAACTTTCTTTCCCCATCTAATACAAGTAAACGGGGTCCAGTATAGACAATATAGATATGAAAAACAAAAGCAAAAATCCCCTTTTATCCTACCACCTGAGTATGGTCATTGCTAACATTTTGGTATATATCTTTCCAGATTGAATTTTTTCTATGCAAAAATATACATATTTATTTTATAAAAATCAGATCATCACTTTCAATGACTGCTACAAATGTACCATATTCATTAATTGTTAAATGAGTTGTGTTCTTATATTGGCATTTAGGTTATTTCTGATTTTTTATTATTATAAACAACAGTGCTTTCTAGCTGTGCAAACGTGGAAAAGCTAGTTGACATCTCTGTGCCTTTCCTCATCAGGAAATGAAGGTGATAATAGGATTGTTGTAACAAATGAACTTATGTATGTAAAGTGTTAAGTATACTGCCTGACACAGTAAATGTTAGCTTTTATTATTAGGTATAATAATAATAATTGCTGTTGTTGGGTTTCCTGTGACTAGTTTTTGGTTCACAGAAGAGAGTAGAGTGATTGGAATTTTTGTTTTTGAGCAGTATACCATATATAGTGAGCTCTGGAGTCAAACAGCTGTGTGCTTTTGGGCATGTCAATTTACTTTGCTGAGGCTCCGTATTCTTATCTGGAAACTGGGAATTGAAAGGACCTCGCTCACAACATCAAATGATAAAATGCTTGTAATGACCTCAGAATGGTTTTTGGCATATGGGTAAAGTTCAAAGTCAGTTGATATTACTATTATTATTATTGTTGTTGTTGTTATTATTATTATTATTATTATTATTATTATTACTACAATGATTCAGTCATTGATGGGGATGGGAGGAGGAAGGTGGCAGTGAACAGAGCACTTGGAGTATTTCTAACTTATCTAATGACAAAGAGAGGAAATAATTTTGGAATCAAATGGACCCAGGCTCCATTCTGGGCTTTGCCATTTACTAGCTCTGCGACCTTGATCACAACTTCTCTAAAACTCATTTCCCCATTTGTAAGATGGGAATGGTGCCAGTGCTTACCTTGCAGGTGTTGCTATGAAGCCTAAAGGATATAATGCAAACAGTGCTTAGCTCAAGTGCCCAGGTAATATTAGTTGCTAATTATGAATGTGAGAAGGTTTATAACCACCTGAATGCCACCCCTCAATCTCCAAACTCTGAGTCTCTATACCTCAGCTACTTGAATTTCACTTGAAGATTTTGCCCTTTCCAGGGCTCAGGGACCAATTCTGCCCCTAGTCTGGGGGTATAAGGGTGCTGATTCAGAAGGTTAAAGAGCTCTGGTAGACCTTTCTGCTAGTTCTACTCTGACCTTGTGCCCCAGTTCTAGAAAGCAGGCTATAGCCCTGCATCTATCAGCAAGCCCTCACCTGGTATGTTCAAGACTGGTGTGCTTTTTTTGCCAGCTTTCTGAACATCCTAGAGCCTTGCTGTCAAATCCTAGCCCCGTGGTAGGGACACTGGTTGCCAGATTTCCCTCCAGGTCTCTGACACTGGGGCAAATAGGTATTTTTATCACCATTGCAGGGGTCTGTCAAATACCCATAGCCCATCCTCCTAAATCCTAGTTTCCCTGCACTTGAACTCTTTGAACTATCTGACACTGTTTTACTCAGCCTCCAGCCCTGGTTCTCTTACCTCTGACCCCTGCCATGTCACACCGGTTGCAGTGCCTGGCTTTCAGGATTCCCATGTCTGCTCAGTCGCACAGGTTATGTCTCATTTCCTGAGCCAGGACCCTTTCAGTCTCATCCCTTTAACTATGTGGATCTCCTTTTCTTTGGGACAGCCAGAGGTGGGCATAGTGGGCTGGTGCAACTATTGGGGGTGATGGGAAATGGGGTGGAGTTGCATAGGCCAAGTGCTAAAGTGGAGATTCTGGAGGGCTGTCAAAGTGAAAGGCGGCCAGAGGCAAATGTCAGAGCCTATATAGAGGCAGGAATCTGGGACCAGAGAGACAGAGCAAGCACTAGCAA